TTGGAAATTTTTTTCCTCAATATTGTAATCTAAATTTATGTACATTTATTTATATTTATGACATCTTTGTCTTAAAATAAAACATCTACATTTTTTTACAAAGATAGCATAATATAGCTCACATTTTAAAATGTTATTAGCATATATAATTGAAGCGATCATAAATTTTGCTGTAACTTAATTACATTATAACAAGTTATTGAAAGCTACAATTCATGCATATTTTAGAAACATGAACATATAACTAATATTTAAATATTATATCATATTATTGTTAATTGTCTGTTTGAGAATACATAATATTAATTTTGTTACCTAAATATATTTTGGATAACTTTATGTGAAAAGCAATATTCTTCTTAATATTAACAAAATATAAGAATTAATAGACTTGTAATCTTATAATAGTCTTAATGAGATAATCAGTATGCAATTGTTATAATAATTTATTATTCTTACAGAAATCATAGCAGTTGTTGCAGTACCTGAAATCGGGTATTAGACAATACATATTGATGTGCCATGTACATAATGTGGCTTGTTAAAAAATAATTAGTTTTGTCTATTGTAACATGTATAAAAGCAAAGTTGTTAATGTTATTTTTTCTTTTTTGCAAGAAATAACAAAGTTTTCTAAATATATTTAATATTTAATGATATTTACCTGTATTTAAAAAAAATTATATTTTGTACATTAAAAATGAATAGCAATTAGTTAATAATGATTCTTATAACAGTTGAAATTAAATACAACAAAATAATGTTATATTATGGGATATTCTAGAATGTATGTTCTATACAGTAATTTTTCTTTAAAATTTTTACTTTAAATTTATTTGTGCCGATGCTAAAATAAAAATAAAACATAGAATAATGTATTAAGTATATAAATGAATAAACTGGTATCTAAAAAAATTTCTTATGTTTAATTCTTAACTATTTTAGATGTTTCTGAATAATTAATGTTTCTAAAAATAAATATTGCGCTATACAAATAAAATAAGTACAAATTTGCACGCCGGAGAATATATAATTGCATACACTTTAAACTCGTTTTTATGTTAAATAATGTATCTTATAATTAGAAAGAAATACATAAGAGGTACAGACCACCTTATCCGTGAATGAAGTTCCGTTAACATTGATGTTTTCGAGGTAATAAGATTTAATTTTCATTTAACCATAATAAAATCACAATAATCATTGTAAAAAGGATAATAGAAAAAATAGTTTTATACATGTTCAAATCATTCGACTAATCGAAATTTTGGAAATCGATTGATAACGTATCAAATTATGTCGAAAGATTTAAAAGGTCCATTAACTCTGACGTCAATTCAAATTAAAGATTATTTAAACTGCAAAAATTATATAATAACAGAAATAGAATATTTTGTTTTATAATACCTTTAATATTTGCAGTTTTGAATTTTACAAAAGTAATTTCTTATTTTACAAAAAATAATAAAGAAATACATATTTCCACGTATACAAAGAAGCGGCGAATCCAAACCCAGATCAAAGGTTCAATTATTAAATATGTCATATACTGAAAGTTACATTAGAAGTAAATTAATCGAGGAATTAAATGCTTCGCATGTGGTGCGTATTTTATATGTTTCATTATATTTGCATGCATATTCCTTGTTTCTTTATACCATTTTTATTCTAACCTCAAATTTTCTATGATAAACCTAGGTAGCTAGATGTTATTTCTAAAATATACTTATTAATTGCAATTGAGAGTATGCCCAACATGTAAATTACTGAAGATTGTCAACATATAAGATAAAAAATGCAAGGCACTATACAAATTGTATTAATTTGCCTATTTGCCCTTCTCTTAAGATGGTGCATTACATATCATTCACATAGTGGTCAAGGGAAACCTCCAATGTTTGGAGACTATGAAGCACAACGACACTGGCAAGAAATAACATTAAATATTCCAATTGAAAAATGGTACACAAATACGACAGACAATGATTTACAATATTGGGGATTAGATTATCCTCCATTAACAGCTTATCATAGTTTTGTATTGGGTGTTATTGCCAACAAAATTAATTCCTCTTATGTAAAACTACATGAATCTAGAGGTTTATCATCTGAAGGTCACAAATATTTCATGAGACTCAGTGTTCTTTGTGTAGATATCTTGGTTTATGTACCGTCAATATTATATTTTATGTTAACTAATAGAATATCAGAAAATTTTAAAACAGAAGAAGTGTGTATATTTGGTTTAAAGAGAAAACATATTAATATTGTAATAATATTAATTTACCCTGGTTTAATATTAATAGACCATGGACACTTTCAATATAATTCTTTATCATTAGGATTATTCGTTAGTGCTGTTACATTTATGCTTCAAGATTCATTTATTACTGGATCAATTCTATTTACTGCAGCATTAAGCTATAAACAAATGGAACTTTATCATGCATTACCAATTTTCTTCTATATACTTGGAAAACACTTACCTGCAAGAAAACAATTTTCTTCATTTAATTTATTAATGTTGTTATGTATATCTATTACGGTAATATTGACATTCTTTATTATATGGTTGCCTTTTCTTAAAGATGCAGAAACATTTATAAATGTTATTTTCCGATTATTTCCAGTTGCTAGAGGAGTATTTGAAGATAAAGTTGCTAATATCTGGTGTACATTAAATGTGGTTTATAAATTACAAAATGCATTTGCAAATAAAGAATTAGCAAAAATTTGTTTAGCAGTAACAACATTAGCTGTTTTACCCAGTTGCATAAATCTCTATCTAAATCCACAGAAAGGGAGATTCATTATTTCTCTTATCAATTGTGCACTAGCATTTTTCCTTTTTTCATTTCAAGTTCATGAAAAATCAATCTTACTTGTTGCAATTCCAGTTTTATTATATTTCCAAAATGATCCTCTGCCATCTTTTTGGTTTTTAATAATTTCTCATTTTAGCATGCTACCTTTGTTTATAAAAGATGATTTGTATATGGCATATTGTATTACTTTAATTTTTTACTTCTTTTTTGTTTCATGGGCATTTCCTGATATGGTTATCAATAATGAATTATTAAATAATGTTAATTCGAGAAAGTATGCACATGTTAAAACTAATAAAAAACAAATTAAAGAAAAA